CGAAATTACAGCTGAGATTTAGGTTAGCAAAAGCCGTCTTCTCCAGGCTTTTATGATTCATTATTTCCCATTAAATACAGTATTAGAAGTGTACACTAGATAGCTCATGGTTGCTGCTCTCGGAGCACATTATCTATATTACACAGGTCTGGGGAGCAGAATTAGAAAACTTTGGGGGAATGAGCAATATGTGTTTGCTGATAGAAGTACCATATGGCCCATCTTCTTCAATTGCTTTCACTGTGTCTCTGATGCTGGAGAAATTAAAGTTTTATTTGATGTGGCACAGCTTAATGAACTGTCTTCTGTTAGGAAAATTGAATATGTTTCCTGTTATTTGAGCACAGAGCCTCCATAGTTTGGCTGGTGGGGGGGGGTGCATTATGTACTGTTTATTTAGCATTTTGAAAACAAAAGCAAGATATTGAAGGGAAAATTGATTACTGGCTGGATTGCATTATGTAATCAAGTTTCCTCTCCCTTAAAGTTCCCTTTACAATCCTCTGGCAATGTTTTAATATGAGATTGCACTAGGTTTTTATGTTTTAAAAGACACGGAGTTTGATTTTATCAAAACGCCTTTATCTATCAGCGAGCCACATGAAATGCTGAACTCAGTATTGTGCGTGTGTGTGTGTGTGTGTGTGTGTGCGTGCGTGTGTGTGTATATGTGTGTGTGTGTAGGATTTGACCTGAATATTGAAAATGAAGTATAAATTCTACAGATTTATATTTTTTCAGCTAAGCACATATAATTTTTCAAAACAAATAATCAAAAGTATACTTTTGTACCCAGAAGGCTGTGTATCAAACCAGGTAAACATTGGCATTCTAAAGACTCTGTGAAGGGATCTGCTAACATTCTCTTTCATTTCCTTGGCGTTGTTCTGGATATGACCTTTTTCAATTAAAAATATCTAGACACACTTTTAAAAGACTGACTATCTGCATCTCTTTCATTTTTCAGTGAGAATCATCTCTCAAGTGAGCAGATGACTGGGACTCACCAATCTGCAGCAAGCGCATAGGATAAATAACAGTTAAAATTCGTCAAAACGTTTATCGGCAATATGCAATCCCACGCCCCCTACACACACACCCATAAAAGTCATTTGTCTTCTGTGTTCTGAGCTGTTTTGAGAATTCTGGCAAATTCAGCCATTAAACAAACTTCTCGCACAATATAAATACTGTCTGTTCAAGAAAGGCTTCCAGTGTTTACAGTCCATAAGTGAAGAGGGGAAAAGCTGGTATTTAACTAAGGGTAGTGGCTTGCAAAGATCTCTGAATAAAGTGTTCAGCACAACTTTGGCTGCAAACCTGCTGGTTCCTGGTCTTCCTCTGTGTCCCATGCCATGAGGAATTTTCACATGTCATCCCCCTCTTACTATTCTGTTTTAATTACCTAATTAAATTTTAGGAAGGAGCGCCTGATTTGGGGCAGGGATCGGGAGCTGATCATACCAACTTCCTTTGGAAACAGGAAAGATGAAAACATCCCATTTTTCTGAGCCCCCTCCTGACGGCCTGGGAGGAGGATGAGCATTATGCATTGTTATCAGCGTGGTGTAATTTGACTGTTGACAAAGTATCGGTGGCAGTGAGGATGAAGGCAGTTAGGAGTGTGGCGGGTTGTAATCAAGAAGATGCTTAGCTGTGCAACGCTGCATCTTGAGCAGATTTGAATCAACATTGCCTTAAGGGGATACACACACCAAAAGGAAAAAAGTCCATTCATTTTTAGAGGAAAAACTGGAGTGGCACTTGAAGTGAAATCTGACGCGCGTTAATTGCTCTGCAGCTCTCCTAATTAGAGACTTTCGAATCCCTTCGCTGCTGTCACTGAGAGGGTACACTGTCTTGCTGGACGCATAGGAAAACTGCAAATGTGTTTGATCCAGAAGTTTTTATATATAAAGACTAAACTACAATCCCTGTCCCCTCCAAAGGGTGGTCAGCTGGAAAGCGCTGCTTCACCTCCAGCCTGTATTTGAAATTTCAAGCCTTATTAAAGTAGTTTCATTGTGACACTCAATGCAAAGGAAGCAGGTGCTGCTGGTATTTCCTTAAATAGAAGGGAATTCCCCTTCCTATCCCTCCTCATATGAAAGATTTCAGGTGGAAAATGAGCCAGCAAAATGCTCTGTTCCATACAGATTCGAGGGGGAGACAGATTCGGGTTTTCAGGAACATGCCACACCTGCCTTTTTCTCAGGCCTGAATCTAAGCTAGCACTCCAGGCTCCCATTCCAGTCTTAAAGTCATTATACCGCTGTCTGGCCCCAGGTTGCCACCAAATATGACACTATAATAATTTGGGCTTCCCTTTTCAACTCCTGTGTAGCCCTTGAACCACTCTTAATTCATTAACATATTGAATTTTTTCAATTTTCCATTTTCTTGCAATAACAATATTAATCCCGAGGTGAAAGCTCGATTGGAGCTAAATTACTTGTTACCTGCTGGCATTTATTTATATGGCATTGAATTATAGAGCTTTGCTATTGTCATGCTTTGGACGAATTGTTTATGACGCCAGTAATAGGAGTAATTGTTATTGTTGAAATTACCTGTCAGCTACCCATAGCAGTGGCCCTTGTCCCACTGACAAATAGTGACAAGGGAGAGGCATCCTCCATGCGTCCCCCTGATGGCTTCTCCTCTGATAATAAGAAGTGCAGGGCCTCTGATAATTTGCCTGTCACTGTTGAGTGCAGCTCAGAGAGAGTTGGCCAAATTGTTGTCATTCACTTTGACAAAGACAGCAAAGTGGCCCTGTGCAGGCAGAGGATTATCAAAATAAATGAAATCACTCACACCCCCTTTGTTTGTTTGGCTCAAGAATTGCCTGGCTTTGTATGAGGTTGTAAAATCAAGGCCCAATGCTTATGGATATGCCTTTATTCATTCTGGAAGGAGGATGCCAAGGAGGGATAGTCCTTGGCATTATAAGGCTTGTCATTGCATAGTTTACAATGGCTAGTAAGAAATTAAATTCAAATATAAAGTCAAAATTATAACAAGAATTCTAAGTATGTGACTGAATGCATTGGTTTGAAATATGTGAAATATGTAAAACTCCACAATTTTTTCTTGAGTTACTTATGTCTTCACTCAGTTTTGAAACGTGCAGCCTTCAAATCCAGTAAGCTTTAAAAAAATAACAATTTTCCAGTTATAGTCAAATTTGCTTTAAAAGTTTAGAATTCTGCACCCTTGACTCCTGCAGCTTTGAAATATTATAGTCAAATTTAGGATTATTATCTCAAATGGCCAGTTCCTTTCTATAAATTCCCTTGTATTTATATACTATCTTCATGTATAAAGAGATAAATGAAACATAGTCCCAGATATGAAGCACCAATTATCACAGACTTATGGAGGAAGCAAAATAGCCCTGTTATTGCCTGAGCTCAAATATAAATATTTGCATTTTAAACCCTCTTGGTTGCTGCAGTGAGTCCCTCATGCAGAGAGGAAGGGGTTAGAGGAGATTGGGGAGGGGTGAGGTCTGGGAGTGTCCATGGAGGAAACAAATACACACTGTAAGCTTTGTTCTTGCAAAAACCCAGAATCATTCTCACCTTTCCCAAAAAGGCATTGTTTCAAGCTAGCAAAATTCCTAATTTTAAGGTGTCTGGGAGGCTCTTTTTCACTGATCCTTTTGACAGATACTTTCTGCATAAAGAAGTCTAGAGAAAAAGGAGGAAAAGGAAGTGGAGAGGATATAGACTATTGGCTTCTTAGAGGATAGTAATCAGTTGTTTATTGGTCTCTACCAGACTAGTAATGACCAACCGCAGTGTTAAGTGCCAGCCACACTGCCTTGGGCCCTTCTCTCCTAACATCAGCCATTATCTGATTAGAGAACCTTGGAGGAAGTGGAGATTGCATAACTTTATGGGTCTTAACAGCACAGGCTGGCTGGCAGAAAAACTACCTAGGAGGGTTGATAAAGCAACGGTGATTTTATTTACTCCACTTACACCTTGCTCTCAGCTCTGGCGGGTGCAGAAGAAATCTCAAATTGATCTGAATAGGAACTGTGTGGGGCACCGGGAAGGCGGAAGGAAAGGGATCTGTTCCTTCAAGCTTTATTGGGGTTGCACAGCTTGAAGTAATGACACTTGGAGGCAGCCCGACATTTTCTTAGGTGGTATGCACTTAAAGCAAGCAGAGAGATTGTGAGCGGTGCTAATCATATATGTAATGATACAATGACAGGAATAAAATGTGTTTCTGATCTTTAACAATAATGTAATCTTCTAAAGGCAACGAGTCTGTGGTTAACTGTGTTGAATGCCCCTGATTAACAAGTAGAAGGAGTGACATAATGAAGAGGTTATCTGTGATAATAAAAATGCCCAAACCTGTCTTGGAATGTGATCCTTCCAAGAGATAATTCTTTAAGAATGTCACATGCCCTTGCTTTCTGGCGAGACACACCGTTAGTGATCCCAGGAGGGAAAATAAACATACGTTTTTAAATGAAGATATTTAAAATGTACCCATATTTCAGCATGTTGCTATAACCTGGTCTGTTTTATGCTCCTCCTATAAAACCTAAATTAAGCCTCTTAGGAGTGATTTTGCGGCAGGTTCCCTTGCAAAACACAATACATTTTAAATGCTTGGACCCGAGTGCACGGTAACATATAACCACTGGCATGCAATCTCCTCTCCCCCTTGTCACGGGGCAGCTCTCTTAAGAAGACTTCTTTAAAATTTAGCTTCTTTGGAAATGTAAACTTTTAGCAAATACCAATCGCTCCTGTAGCAGTGTTGGTGAAATAACTGGTCGCGGATCCTCCCCCACCCCCTTCCTTTCTCAAACACCCCTCCGTGTCAAAGGCTACTGCACATGTCCCTTTGCTGCTCTCAATAAAGCTGAGAAACGTTAAGGAAAAAAATGTCAGAAAACACTCAGAGGATTACAGGGTGGTTTCTGCTCCACGAGGGGGAGGATGGCAGGACGGACTGTAAAGCAAGATTCCGAAAGCTGGGCTTTTTCTAGAGCGTTTATTTCTGTACACCGGAAGAAGTTTTATTTAGGCAGATCTGATGCTGCATTTGGCAAAGTGCAACCTTCGGTCGTTTGTTTTCAACCTGGTCATGCTTTAATATCTCTTCCATGTGTATCTCCTAAAATGAAAACAATAATGCATTCTTCTAAGCTGGGGTGTTTCTTCACTCACATGCAGAGTAGAAATGCATTTCAGAGTCTCCCAGGCATTTTCTGTTCTTTCTAAAAATCCTTGGGATGTTCATTCCAGGAGAAAGCAGGAAAAAAAAATGCTGGGCTCATAACACAGTGAAAGTCACCGAACTGATCAGCCCTTCCTCCCCTTAAATAAAATGTGTGTGTAACCTGGGGCTTTCCAGACAGTCCATTTATATTTTTAAAAGACATTTACATTAATTTTGTGTATTCAAAATAAATAACTGGGAAAGGCTTACAGTTTGTTTTGCTCTGTTTTTCTGAAGAATATTAACAATCACAAAGGAGAAAAATAGCCGGAAACTACTTGTCATTTCTTAACTTTGTATTTAAAACTTAATGACTGAAAAAGAAAATATTTTATGAATTCAACTTTCGATCCCACCCTAGAAACAGCAAGATTCATTCTCTAGAAGCAAGGTAAAACTCAGCTGACCTTAAATATAAACTTTTCCAAAACAAGTTATAAATGAATTTAGACAAATTTGTCTCTTAACCTTTAAAGATTTCCTGCCCGTTTCTGTATGTCTTTTATTGCATTAATTTTTTATTTAAATTACACCATTAACTGGATATGAATTTATCAAGAATACATGTATTGATTTATAAAACAGTACCATTAATTATTATAATAGCTAGATGTAGCTGATATTACAAAGCCATTTAAAGGTTTTTAATATCACTTGTGCATACATAGATAGATAGACATTATGGACAAGACCACAATTTAAACTGGCTACCACAGTTAATGAAAGCTTAGATTTATATTCTAGTTTAGAGATTGATCATTTTGTTGCTTTGCAAAACTATTTACATCATGCCATTTTTCAGAGAATGTCTCAATAAAAAAGCTAAATAAAATATTCAGTCAATTCCCAAAGCAGATTTTGTTTTCTATATTTTAAATGCTTAGTGAAAATAATTGATTGTGTGTGTTCCAAGCTTTGTCATTTCCATTCCAGGGTGGCTTTCCTGGGGGGGAACCTCATTTACATATGCACACTGTCACATACTTTTGATCCTTGCTGATGCAAACCCCTTCTCTTTATTTCATCATTCACTCCCCAACACACCCATGTGTATTTCAGAAAACCCACACCTCAGGAACCATAAGTCTTTTTGGCATCTTTTATGTTACGCATTGTTTTTTCCTTAAGGTTGTGGAAAACTGGGACTTACCCCAAAGCCGCAAGGCAGGCAATCACGGAGATAATTTGGGTAAGAAAGCAATCTGAAGAGGAAAAAAAAAAAAGAAAAATGAGGAAGAGTATAAGCAAGTAACAACACTTTCAAATTACTTTTCAAATGGTAATTAAGCCGGGAATAGATTGAAATTTGAATTCTTTCACTTTGTACTTGGCTTGGGTCTCCCAGGCTCTCTATTTGTATCACTTTTCCCTGCCTGGCAACATATGTTACCGATTTATTATAGCGTTTTTTACTGTTAACAGACAAATCTAAAGGCTAGCTGAGAAGGCTAGCTTCATCTGATGGCTCGAACAACAATTGCAGGGCATCCTTGAGGGGGAGCCAATAGGCTCTTTTGAAGCAATAATGCCATTAACCCTTTGGATGCCAAAATAGCTAGCCGAAATTGGCTGAGTCTTTTTGTAGACCTTACAGGTTTATGGAAGCAAAAGGTAAATGCAATTTTAGAAATATCCCAGTAGCCTCCTCAACACCTTCTTCCACCTATCTCAAGTCCCTGTGTGAGTCATCAGTTCCTTTATACCCCCTTTCTTTTACAGCACATGGGGATAATCACCTAAGCCATTGAGTGTCAAGTTGCCACCCACCCCACCCCTCAGCCCCCACACCCCGCCCCGTACCATTAATTCTCTATGATTTTCATAAAAGAAGCAAACATCTTTTAGAATTTAAATGGTCATGTTTTAATATGTATACGTCTCAGAAAAGTAGAGTTTAATGGACATTCTTCTTAACCAAGAACTTGAAATTTCTTCCAAACTAGGAGATGGCAGATCCTGAAGGCGTTTGTATGTGACACTGAGTAAGGGTTCATGCCTTGAACTGTGTTCACATGGCAATGTGTGCATTAGCACTGGATGTGTAGACTGGAAAAGCCACCTTAAATTGAACATTTTCATTTCTGGCCATTTGTAGTTTACTCCACCACGAACTGCCAAGTTGTTTTTAGAATTTTATAAACAGCTACTTTCTCCAGATAAATGCTGGTGTGAAATTGTCCACTCACAATTTCAGATGTGTTTTCTAGAATACCCTCTGAATGTTCTTGTCTGGAACTTTTAGAATTAATCTCAAATATTGGAAACCAGTTTTTTGTTTGTTTGTTTGGTTGGTTGTTTTTTTTTTTTTTTTTTTTGGTCTAAGGATCTCAGATTAGCAACTAAAAAATTTAACCATTTAACAGCATGTGATTATTATAATCAAACTAATAAAATGAATCAAGTGTTCAGAGCAGTGACTGATTGCAAAGGTGAATTCTGAGGACCAGGGACACTATGACAACTGCTCTTTCCAAGTCCAGCTCCCACAGACGATCCCACCGGTGAATGGTGACAAGACCATGACTCTAAAGACCACACAATAGTACCTAGTCTTAGGGCACCCACATGCAGAATTTGAGTTCATACCAGATGGTCAAACAATTCCCACCTGCAAACCCATTTGTCTGATTCTAGTTTTCACCAGGTTCTCAGATCCTCATTATTTATACTTCATTACACTGTCACAAACTTTTCTTACATATAGCATTAACTAGAAATTCAAAAGACTAATGATAACACATAAACTTTAGATTATAATTATGCCATTTCGTCCTAATCTAATTCCGGTTAATATTTATTATTTATGCCTTTATTAGACACTGTGTGCATGTCCTATTTTGTTCCCAAGAGGCATCATATGGTGACCTGACTAATTGCCATGGATAATTTTAACCTAAGTAATTATGATCAAAGGATTTTGGCATCAGAGAAGAAGGGCAGTTTTTGGAAGCTATAAACACCCTGCCATTCCAAGGAGCATCACATGTAGACTCATGCCGACCCTGCTATGCCATAAATAAAATGCTCTAAACGAGGTGGCTACAGCACAGTAATATTTCAGTATTCATCTTCTTAGGAAAAGTGAATGTAAAGAATGATCTCCTTCTTCAAAACTCGACATTTTTTTCCTTAATCAAGATACACCCTCCCTCAGAGCTTAGCTCCTTTGTGTAGCAAGCCTGACAACACTGTCTGTAGCCTTCAAACTCTCCTAAAACAGCCGCTAGGCTCTGTGGTCCCCTGGTACCCACCGTGTTCTCCTCTTCCCTACAACCTTAAACAGGTGTCGTTTGAAGACTGTGCCTGAGTTTGATCTGCCCTTGCCATTTTCTCCTACCCACAGCTACCGGGCCCTTCCAGCCGCTACCACAGACTCAGCGGGCAGCCCCTTAGCCCGTTGCTCCCTCACCTCTACCCCGACCCCACAGTCCAACTCCGGCTCTCTGTTTTGCCCATCACTTTAGCCATGTCCCCTCCCGTTTCTGACCTACATTTTTTTTTCTAGATCTGACATAGGCAGGTTGAAAGGTAATGAGAACCAGATGGACATGGTGCAGAAATTGCCCAAATGGGTCTGAGACTGTGGAGAGCTGTCAGGCATGGAGAGAAGCTGGAATTTTTCAGCAATAAAATGGGATTTATCCTTACTCTACCACAGTCATTGCCGACAACTGTTCCCCTGGACAGAAACCCCCGTTCCGTCAGGCCACGCCCATGCAGATTCTTTTTGCCCGAAGAGTGATGATTGGTATTTGTTCTAAGGCTCAAATGGACTGTGTTGAAGGTGAAGCGACAGGCCAAAGTCCTGCATTCCCCACTGAGGCAAATGAACCCGCTAAATAACTTCCTTCCACAACGGCTGTGTAATTGAAACCAGAGAGTGAGAGAATTTGATAAATTGCTTGACCCAAAAGAATGTTAAGGTCATAAATTTTCATTGCATGTTTTCCTCCCTTTAAAAATTTTTATATATTGATTATATTTAGTATTTGCCTCAAAATTCAACACGTTTACAGATCATGGGTTGTGGCCGCAGGGGAAAGCACAGTAAATCATCAATTAGAAGGAGGGGTTATTCTCTGTTGTCTTCCAGAGAGGGGTGCCGGCACCTTGGCCCTACAAGGAACATCATGGAGGTGTCTTGTATTTCAGAATTATTCCAACTCAGCACACGGTTTGTCCTGGCATGGGCAAAGTACAATCTCCAGGAGAGCTTTTTCTCTGAAGGGCACTGCCCGGCCTCCACCCTTTAAGAGTGACGACTGTTAAAAGGCTGGCAGTCCATTCGCAACAATCACACCCACATGCCTTCCTCCACACACACCTGACAAAGGAAGCGACCCTTGTCTTTAAGTAGATGGGAATGTGTCTGCAGGCACGTGAAGAAACAAACATGCTTCCAAACACTGGCTTTAGCAAGCCTGCTTTGAAATGTTTTTTGAGCTATGAATTGTCTTAATATGAAAACAAAAAAGTAATAAGAACAGTTAAATCTATACATCATGCATTATAAGACTAATGTAGTAAGGCTATCATGAAGTAGAATTTCTATACTTCTTGTTGGAATATTTTAATTCTTTATCTGAAAAAAAATGGGTGCATACATTTGTCAGCATTTTAATTTATCTGCATGTACTGCTGAATCTGTGTGGCAGTGGACCTCAACGGCATAACAAAAGCTTAGACAGATTTTCATAGCCAAAATTTCTTGTCCTTGATAAGAACAACTTATCTCTTGTATACTCATATGCGTGATTTGTTAAACCAGAGCACAAGAAAACAATGCTGATTGACCATTAGATAATTTCTCTGATTTAAAATGATACCATTTCATTTGTTTTGAATTACTAGGTTGAAAGGGGGAGTTTGAAGTACAACATGTGGGTGTGGGTGTTGCATAAGCATGTGTGAGTTTTCCTCTTCAACAACTGAACTACACACACCAAAAACAGGTAATTTGTACTGAGCTCCGTCTCGTTTTTCAGTAGGGGTGAGGTTAAATACTTTCTGTGTTGTTCATCACAATTAATGACCATGGCTTCACAAGCATATCTCTGTGTCAAAAAAAGAGTTAAGAATGTAGGAAATAGTCCAGAAAAGAAAGACAACTTAAATACCTTTTCCAAAACATGAAGTTGGAGATCTTTTTAGCAATACAAAGAAGTAACTAGTATTATAGTTGTTTAAAAACCCTGGAGTCTGGCACCATTAGGCATGGTGAAAATTTTCATATGTTATTGCTTATATGTGTGTACATATTCTCGTAAGAATTCACCAACATGTCATCCTTTTAAAGACAGGGAGGGTCCATGAGATATATACATACATATGTCCATGAGATGTATACATCCATCTAATCTGCCTTTAATGACTGGAGTTTTGTTAGTCCTAAAATGTGCCTTCCTTTCTCTGCACTTAATTTTCTTGTTGTCGAAAGACTGTCACAAAAAAAGCAAAAACAAAATAAATAACTATATATGTGTGTGTGTGCATTTATGTAAGTTTAAATAAAATATGAACAGAAAGTGGATTCAATCACTAATATTTTTGCAAACTAATGTTCAGCTGATGCAACTCAATTTTATTCTGCATCGCATTAGTGTCATAATGGTAATGACTAGCCTTTACTCACTAACAGTTTGAGTCAGCACTTTGAGACATTTTCAAATTAGGTCATACTGCACATTTGTGGCTGATACAAAGGTTGATTAAGAGAGCTATACAATTGTACAGCGATGTGGTGTGAGCTGAATTAAGTTCTCTCAGATAGTTACGGGAAATGAGAGCTACTATAACTTAGCAGAAGTAATGCGTGGCCTATCAGGGAACATATTTCCATGGAGGGCTTGAGATATTTCTCACTTACAATTTAACAAAGTCCTCTGTCTCTTACAGAAGAATTCTAGCACAGGGCTTGGAACAAGAAATGAATTTCAGAAAGGGTACTGGAGGTGCGATCCCCAGCTCTATGTCTTATAAAGTCAGCTTTTGTCTTTGTGCTGCTTTTGATCATCTTAATACACATCTTTCCTCCCCTTGTAGACACTGTCTGTGCTTTTCAAAAACAAAAATGATACTGTCTTACGATCTTACCCATAACTTAACAACTCTGAGGCCACCCTTAACTGCCATGCACACTAGACCTGGAGAGAAAAAAGAGTCCTTAAAATCCATTCAGAAGAGTGGGCTTTTTTTTAATTTCCCAGTAAACGGCAAGAGTATCTTTTAATCAAGTTTGAAGACAATGAAGAACAAAAGCTGAAATCTTAATCACTGGTTTGATCAATAAGAACAAAAAGAGTAGTTCTCAGGACTGGAGAAAAAGCTTAGAAGTCAGGAGCATGGTTTACTCTTGCAGAGAGCCTGAATTCAGCTCCCAGCACCCACGTTAGGCTGTTCACAGCAGCCTGTAACTCAGGGACTCAATACATCTGGCCTCCACGGGAACCTGCACTCATGTGCTTATACCCCATACAGATACATAGTTAAAAACAAAAGGAGTATCGAACACTTAAAACTAGATGGCTATTATTACAGTATCTGGGTCATTCTGCCCTTTCTATAGGATAAGAAAGTCATAGGACACACACACACACACACACACACACA